CTAATTCTTTATGTTACGTGAAAACACATAGATACATTACTTAACTGTATAATATGGATCTTTTTCTTTTATTAACTTTTTTTTTATATTAATTTTATATAATAACTTTAAAATATTATACTATTTTAATTTTTATATCATNAATTTTTTCTTAATTTTAACTTGTTTATCAATAAATAATAAATAATAAAAATAATTAATATATATTACACGTTTTAAAATTTTTTGTATAATCAAGGTTATATGAAGATACGATAAAGAAAAAAAGAAAAAAGAACGAAAAGTACTTTTTAATCGACGAGGATGGGATTCGAACCCACGCGTGCAGAGCACATTGGATTAGCAGTCCAACGCCTTAACCACTCGGCCACCTCGTCTTCCGTTAAGTTTTGGATTTAATACACAGAACATATTACAATATAAATCTTTTCAATAATTTGTTATTTCTTCAAATTATTGAATTTTTCAAATTAATCTCTCAGCGCAAAAATTATTAAAAAACGAAAATCCTATTGTTTCAAATATATAATATCGAATTGCATAGATTAATGTTATTTATATAAATACAAAATAATTTGAGATCGTAGAACAAATCAATAGTATAACAAATCAAAAGATCGTTCAATAAATTCACAGATAGAAAGGTATGATGAAATTAAATCTATAGGAAATTTAGAGAAACTCTGAATCTAAATAATGATGTAATTTAAGTAAGTATAGTTAATTTATAGAAATATTAGATATTTACCGATAATTTATTCGTGAATGAAAAAATAAAACTCATGCGCTGTTTTTCAAGATACATGGTGAAACGAAAAACCTTATTTTGGCTGGCTGCCAGAATTTATTTGCTCGCAATACAACCTCTCCGCCATTGTCGCACGGAAATTTTTTTCAGATTGTCGTTTCGTTGTCCGTTGTTCTTCGAATAAGAATGGCCGTGTTTATTACGTACGTATGCTTAATACATACGGGTAAAAAATAGATGAATAAAAGCACATGGATATATCGAAAAATTTTTTGAAAGGAACGAGGGAATAACGAGAAATATGATAATCGTTCAACGATTTAACGATCGCCCATTACCAAGAAGCAACGAGAAGGTACTTTTTCCGTAAGACAAGTAGTTTCTTCCAAGGTGCCAAGATTGGCTCTTAAGAGAACTTCCGCGATTATCTTCTCGGCGATGATACTTTGTCGAGGCATTGACTTTCTCAATTTGCCGGCCACGTAACGACCAAAAGTCTCGAAATGATCATCATAGCTGGTGAAATGTCTCGGAGAGAGTTCGCGACTCGATTCCTTCGGTTGACGATCCTGAAAATTTTCCTGTTGATACTTTCTTCTCAAGTAATCGGTTTGCGCGGCGTTCGATATTCTTCTCGCGTATGATCCTTCGGTTTCCAAGATGATCGGTTGAAAAGCTGGGACAGAACTAGCTCCCGGTGAGGGTACGGGCGATGGTGGCTCGATCTTGTCTACGTCCGTTTGCACAGACTAAAAAACAGTTAGGTTGCCAGCTGTAATTGAATGATATACGGATATATGGGCTATAGTGGCGATCGAAATATAGCATATGAATAAACGATGAAGAAGTGAACGCATATAAACAGTGGACGTTTAATGTCCAAAAGAATCACCCGATTCATGGTTATGAACGTTATGTATGTTATCGCATCGCGTCGAATCGGATCATATTACATCCGTGTCCAATATATTTTCGACGAAATAAATAAGCGTTTTATTCAAACATCCAATAAATTATTATATTTCGTGTATATGAAACAATTGAGTAAACAAATCAATAATCATTTTTTTTTTCCACTTTCCTTTTTCGATTTCGAACGTAATTCCGACGTGCTAGCGCACGTTGAGTTTCTGGATCGATAAAGTGCCGCAAAGAGAAAGAGAAATAACGAGAGAGCGATGGCTAGAGAGAAAGAGAGGAAATGAATGAAAGGACGAGCGAAAATGAGAGGAAAAGATAGGAATGGAGGAAGAGACACAAGCTCGATGTTCGGTATCGAAGAGATATATGTATGTATTATTCGCAAAATCTCTCTCTCTCTCTCTCTCTCTCTCTCTCTCTCTCTCTCTCTCTCTCTCTCTCTCTCTCTCTCTCTCTCTCTCTCTCTCTCTCTTCTCGACTTTTATCATATAGTCGCGATAGACGCGTTACAAAATGATGAAATGCAAGTGAGCATTTCTTTTTGCGTGTCGACGAATTTATGAAAAATTTCATATCCTATCTTGAGAATCAAATAAAGTCAAATAAATTTGTTCAATCGTTTACGTAGTATGGAACGAGAAAAAGAAAGGAAATGAATCTAGATAGATAGATAGAAAAAGGATTTGTAAGAGAAAGAAAAAATAAGAGAGGAAAGTCTCGATTCGCGCAGTCTTGAAAAAAATTGTACGAGGTCGTACCATCATCTCCTCTTGAGAGAGATCCGTTGGGTTAACCAAAGCATTTTTAACATCCCTTTCTTCGTCCAATGGACTTGTCTCGTTCTGTTCCGCGACAAATTTTAAAATATCGTAGTACCATAACGAAGATTTGTATCGTTGCCGGGGATTTTGGACCATCCTCTGAGAGCTTCGTACTTTCTTGTATTCCCTTCTGAATGCAGTTCGCAGGGTATTAATTTTTCGTATCACAGTCTCTCTATCCGCTATCGGATTAACCTCCCTTAATTTCTGTACAAGGGCGTCGTAAGCACGATTTCGAAGCAACCTGTCTTTATATCCTTTATATTTAATCTGCCATAAACAGGGAAAACTACGATAAAGTTGAATAAATTCTGCAAGAAAATCGTGCGAATATCCGATCAAATCCGATGTTGACATTGTTGCTTTTGCGCTCACTCGATTCTTGAACGAATTAAAACACCTTTAATAAATCTTTCAAATGCCAATAAAATGCAGTAGTTTGAAACAACGATTCGTTGCACCGAAATAGCAATTTATAACCGAACAACATACGCGAAGAAAAGTAGGATAAACGGAGCGTGGATGACTACGCTCGACGTCCAACTGAGGGACCGCTACTCAACACGAGTTCACAAGCTGATCAAACGTTGTATCGTGTATGCTGGTACGCCTGCCTTTGAAAACGCGTGTATACGTTTGCTCAAACCACCTTGTTGTCAATCAGTTCGCTCTCCCTCCAACAATCAAAGGTTTACTCGTGCTTGCGCAAGCGGTTTTATCACACTTGACTCTTTCACGATGACTCACTTTCGCTCATTTTCATTTTTTCTTCTTCTTTTTCTTCTTCTTCTACTACTACTACTACTACTATTTCTGTTTCAATTTCTTCCTCTACAAATTTTACTTTCTCTCGAATAGTTTCTATTTTTTTATACCAAATATTTCATTGCGAATTGAAAGTCTCTTCGAAAAGGAAGAGAGTAGCCAAAAGACGAGATTTCGATCGAAGTGTGATTCAACTGAAATCAGTACAGGCAACGCGTTTCGCACTAAAGAAATGGTTACTAGTTATATATACACGTGATCACATCGTGTTTTTTTTGATTACATATCTACTCGCGAAGAATTTCTCATTTTTCTCTGAGATACAACAAACCTTTTAATTCGCACAGTCTCCCTTGTGCTTGAAACATTCACGTTTGATCAGGTTCGAGAAGGTTTGCGCAAACGCGAAGCGTGACAAAACGAGGCGAGGCTTTGGCGCGACGCGGCTAGGTGTGGCGGGGCAAGGCAAGGCGAACCGACCCGATGCGTCTCTGTCTGCGTCCAATGAAAGCTATTTCCTGCTAGTGTTGCCAACGTGACCGCGCAAACACGTTTCACGAGCTAGTCGAGTGCGACAGTTTATGCATCGCCACGCCTCGACGTGTACCACTCGCGTTTTTAGTGCTTTGTACGGGTTAATTGTTGACGAAAATCTAGCGGACAACGTTTCTCCTAGACGAGACGTTTTTTATTTATAATTCAACGATATTGTAAACCCAGCTATTGTATCATAAATTTACTTCGAGTGCAAATCAAGCTGCGCAGTTTCGCGAAATTGATCACGTTTCGAGATCACGGGAAGTATAGGTATCTCTGGAAAGGCGAAATTGCGAAATTCGAGAAGCAAACGTGGCCAAAGGCCGGTTTTGCCGGATTGGAAAACGATAGCGCTGTTATGTGCGAACCTTCGCGCCTTATAAGGTACTAGCGGCCAATTCGTTTACCACGCGAAGCCTGATCGTTTCGATCGATTCTTGATATCGTTTATCGTTGTTGAACGATGATCTGAAATTGTAGATAATTTGCTTTTTGTGTTCCTATTTTCTTATTCGACATGTCTTTCACGTTTTAAAAAAAGAAAGGAAGAAATTGGATATAGACAAAACATGTTTCAAAAAAAAAAAGAAATGGGATATAGATGAAAAGAAATAACAGAGAGAAAGGAGAATGAATGAAAGAAATCATGATGTTTAAATTTGCAAAAGACATACTTTCACTCGTAAATAATGCAAAGGAATGAAATTGTTAGCACTTAATCGGCAATGAAACATTATAACTTGAAGAGGAGGAAAAGGGAAATATCTGATAGGAAAGTATTTGATTGGCGCCAGGAAGGTATTCTTGACGCTAACATCACATTCTTCTTAATCTAACACTAATTACGATCCAGAAATTATTTATTTGAATAAATAAGAAATTACGATATAATCAAATATAATGAATGTTAATAAAGATTTGCATCTGGATTCGATTTACTTGAATGATATAATTTGTTTCGATAAAAAATTTGCATATTTTATATATTTTTCCTTTCTTCCTTTCATACTTGTTAATAAAATTTATTAGTTTTCTAGAAAATTTTATCTTGTTCATTAGAACAATGGCAATATTTAAAATTCATCGCTGATTGTGAAAGAAAAAACAAAAGTGACATTTTTCAAAAGATAAACATCGTTCGACGACGTATCAATGATATCGATATTACGCATCGTTTCGAAACAATAATTATTTCGATTAATCGATCGAGCATGATTGCCGGTTGTTATAAGTGTCGTAAGGTCGGCCGTTAATCATTATCGCGAGTTCCATTGTAATTGTTGAACAATTTAATATGACGAACGATTTGAAAATTAGTAGATAAATGTATATCGATATCACTTACTTCGAGCTTGAGCTCAACGATTTTCCATTTCTTCAAAAAATTGTGCTTTCGTTTCTGAATTATTCCATCGTTCATTTACACATTCATTAAAAATCAATTTCTTTGTAACACACCTTTGATTATAACGTTCACGGTTATAACTTTTCACGCACGCGTTTTTATTCCGTATTTTGGCGATTTTCGATTTTATCTTTTGCAATTGTTGATTCGCGACAGCTGGAAATTGTTCTTGCGCGCGTGCGAATAGAAATTATACCAATGAAATGCACCGGTTTGGACGCTAGCTAAAGTCTGACTGGCGAAGCTGGCTCTGTCTGAAGCTGGTTCGTTTCACTCGTAGGTTTCCATTCGCTTTCGCGCGTCATTCCTGTCGGTGTGTATTGGGCCTTGTCAGACCAGGTCAAGCCAGGTCGGGTGAAGCACACCGTCAATAATCACCATTGTCAAACTAAGTATATTAGATCACAAGTGTATGATATTTATAGTGCGAGTATGTATGATGTGTGATTGTGTTAAAATCAAACTAAATAAAATCAAAGAAATGGCTAGTTATCGTTTCTTTTTTTTAAATTCTTGTATTTTTCGATAGATAAATAGAAACGAAATATACGTTAGGTTAGGTTAATTTTTTAATAAATATATTTTTAGATTCAAAATCATTATATTTTGTCTTATTTTTCTCTATATTCAAATACTATCAAAAAAATAATGTTATAAAACAAAATTTGGATTCTGATTTTAACTGATTAATTATTGTATACATTTTTATACATTATTTATATTTATCTATATTTTAATGTAAAACTATTTACTGTTAAAATCAACTGTCTTGTTTGTCAACATCCAATATATGATATCAAATACAAAACGATTCGGATTATGCAAGATGAACGATCGTAGAGAAGAAACGTCGGGATAGTAAAAAGGGGAAGCATTTACATTTTGCTTTGTGATCAAAGAAAACTTCTGTCGGTCGTCTCCAGCGATTGTCGACTTGTTAGTTCTTTATTTGTCAACAATTATTTCGAACTAAATATAAATGTTTTTTATTCGAGAATTTTATTTAAGAGACATATTTTCAAAATGAAGCTAAAATGAAACTTTTATCAGTTTTTCTTCTTTGAAAAAATGTCAAATAACAAATTAACAAACAATAAATACTATTTATTCAAAATGTCCGCGATAATTTAATTTTTTATTAATCCCATTTTTTATTAATACCATTAATGTGCTTGCAATATATTAATTTAAATATTAATATGATATGTATGGAATAATAATAAACTATATATAGAAAAGAAATAAAAGATAAATTATGCCATTTTGTCATATCGTCGAAAACAATATGATAATAATTTATTGCAGAAAAGAAAAAAAATGAACAATGAAGACAAGATAGAAAAAATAAGGAAAATAAAAGATAAAGAAGACGATGCTAATTCTCTTTGTATGGGAAAACCGAGCGGTCCGTTGAACAAACTAGGAGGCAAGCCAGACTTTCGAATAAGCTATTCAACCTGTGCAATATACCGTGCAAATATAGCGCATCCCGTCTAGACGACGTGACTTTTCCATCTGAACGAAAAGTTACCTCGTTATTTCCATGTAAAACTTGATGAAGAAATAGGAAAAGCAATAGCAAAACAGTTCAAGTAAATCGAGATTTCATCGATCTTACCCAATCGTTTTCATTCATTAAACAATGATAGTGATAGTGTCTTATCCAATTCATAAATAACTAAAAGCTTTCTTTTATCATAGTCAATAAATTCGAATAAATGTTAACGCCTCTTTTTTCTTTTTTTTTTTTTTTTTACACTTCTTTCAATTTAACAGAGATTAAAATATTCAACAACATACCATTTCCGATAATCTAAAAATTATACTTAATAACCTGGTTTGATTAAAACTGTATTCAAAACTAGCTATCTGTCGTTTCTTCAATGTTCAATATATGTAATTCAGAGCTGAACGATGAACAACCGCGAGAAACTGGTGCAAACTCAACTCGAATGACTTTATCTCGGCATACGGAACATACACACAATACTCTTTATGGCCATATTTTATGATATTCATTATTTAGTTTGTTAACTGAAATGTGGAAACTTGAATATTCTATTATTATATTATATTTTAAAATCTATTTTTCTATTAAAAAACTAAACGAAAAATATAAAAGAATGATTAATAAATAATATTTGATTTATAATTTATAATGTTGCATAATTTTAATTATGCAACATTGAAAAATGAAAAAATTCAAATGTTATTTGTGTTCTGATCGATTGCAAATATTGATTATTATCGTTTAAGAATTTGATTAATAAAAAAATATATAAAATGAATTTTCAACTCGATAATTCGGAAAAACTTTATGTTGTGCTGTATAAATATTTTGTATGAAATTATAAAGTACAAGAGAAGAGAATAAAGAACAAGGTTATGTTAAAAAACATAACGATATTATATTGGAAGTTTTATGATATAATACTTCATCGTTGACATAGATTCACGAAAGATTAATGTCGTCATTCCCTTGACGATATTACGTATAAATATATATACTTATTCGATAAGAAAAATAAAAAAAAATCTTGAAGCAGTTATTGCACATGAGAGAGCACTATTGGATAAATTTTATTTGATGCTCTTTCATAATCTACAAACTATTCATTGAATTATGACAAAAAAATTATGTAACAAATCGCGAAATCAACAAAAGGTTGAATATTCCAACTCAATATTTTATAACTCACGAACACCTCATAGTAAAACTTCTCTATCGTTTTTATTTCATATTCTTGTTAAAAATTGTCAATTTTTTTCATATGTTATATATACATATATTGAGTCTAAATTTAGAATTAGAATATGAATAGAAATAAAACTGAATTAAATTATTTTTATCTATGATCGATTAATTTTTAAATCAGTACGAAAATCATAATCTTTAATATATTCTTAAAAGAAATATACATACCATTTAACCTATCATATTAAAGTGTCATGAAATAAATGCTGTGCTAACAAATATAATCAATTTAATCTATATGTTCAGATTAATGAAAATAGTGACAATCACATTAATAATATTAATAGCAACAATAAGAACAATAGCAATAATCATAATAATTATAATAATAATAACAAACAAATCAGTATGCAGAGGATAGTTTCATGAAAAAAAATAAATAAATAAAAATAAAAATTTATTTCAACTAAAAATAACGAAATATATCGATCCTACTTTTTTTTTATTTTTTATTAATTGTAAACGTAAGTTTCATCAAACTTCATCAACTTTAGTAATAATTGTAAGTAAGTAATTGTTATAGATTAAAAAAGAATTCTTTTCAAAAACGGTGTAAATAATTATGAGCAATAAGATACTGAAAAAATACCATTGTTTATTTCCTATTAATAAAATTATAATTCTTACATCTTAAAAAGTAAATTAAATTAACCGAAGAAGGTATCATCGCTGGAGCCCTCTGTCGTGCAATTCTGAAGTAATGATGCAGGGTGGTTAGACATATCGTTAACGGTTTGCTCTCCCCCTAAACTACTTCCAACACCGCCACCATCACCACCACCACCATCACCACCGCCACTACCGCCTCCATTTGTATCGGCACCAGGTATGGATTCGCCGAGACAAGCATCGCCACCTCCGAGTCCGGCGCCAGTTCCAACTACTCCGCTAACATTCCCTGTTCTTGGAGGTTTTACATCTTGTGAAACTTCATACGTTCGACTCTGCTGATTCTGCAAGTTGATTTCATTGTAAACGAGCTCTTGAATTTTCAACCTAATAAACATCTGTCTATCGAGCGGTAAACTCTTAAGAGGATTTCGAACGCTCATAAGAAAATGATAAGTGTCATCTTCTTCCTCCTGCGATACGCTTAACCTTTTTTGCAAAGATTCGAATCGTTTTCGATCGACTTCGGTATAATTGTTTTCCATTGCATCCATTAAACTTCTTTTCCTACCAATCTTGTTCATTTTAGGTGGAGGCATAACTTGATGCAGGCCATCGTCATTTGAGAGCAAAGATTGGCAAGAATCACCATCTAAATCATCGAACTGAGTTTCCTCGTGTCCTTCTAAAATGTCAATTTGAGGCTCGATTTGAGTTTCTTCCGGCGATGATCGAAGGGCTGCCGAACAATTCTGTGAAAGAGTGCATCCAATCACTCTCGAGTTCATTTGATCTCGTAGAAAGAATAGGCTCTTGAACCAAACCCATTTCGAGTCGTGCTCATTAGCACCACCATCGCATTTTCCTCGATAAGTTTTCTTTAATTCGTTGCGGAAATTGTCTCGTAAATGCTTCCATTTCGATTTCGCGACGTCCGCTGGAAATGAAGACTATCTGTTAATCTTTTGTTTTGAAAAAAATTTTTCAAAATTTTCTTATGTAAATTTTTTCGCCAAAACAATTTTCGCAACTTATTATTTCAATAATAAATGATAATCAACGAATAAATATATAAACATTTCATTAATTTTTAATTGATAGAAACAATTTATAAAAAATTAAGAAACAAATACATTAATGGAAAAGCAATGCTATGAATTATTAAATTTTCTTTAATTGCACAAAGAATAAAATTGATTTCAAACAATATGAATTGAAACCGCAATTTCGAACATAATTTTTTTGAACCAGTTATTAAAATTGTATAAAATATTGTATTTATTAAAACCTATATCCGATTGATTTTAATTTGAAATTTTTTAAAATAATTATTTTTCGATAGTTCTATTTTCTATTTTCTATTTTAAAAATACATATATTCGAATTCATAATCAATTATATTATAAAAAAAATCATTAAAGTCGTTCATTTGTCTGTTTCATCATTTGATTGATAAATAAAAGGGATCATACACATTGATGGCATAGATTGCGGGAAAGGAAATACATACGTAGTAGGGACGGTTGAAATGAGGCAGTGGGAGGGAAAGAAAAAGTGGAAGGGGACGAATTGCAAGAGAAAGAGAGAGAAGGCAAGAGAAAGAGTGAGAGAGGTGTGTGACGCAGGCGCGAATGGAAGAGGTGGAAAGAAGAGAGAAGAGGGAAGAGGAAAGCGAGGCGTATACTCACTGGAGACCTCGCAAGCCCTCGCGATCTCTCGCCACATCTTCAGGATGACGTCGCGATTGTGATAGTTGACGTTTTTCTGGTCCCAGATCGCGGGCCTAGCGTGTACCTCAGTGATCAGTCTCTGGAGATCCATCGTCATCGCGTTCCTACGCGCGTTCGCGTTGCATCTCCTGGACGATCGCTTGCTGGCAGTTCGACGGTTGAGAAGCGTGT